GTGTGATTATGGCAATGCAGGTGGGACCTGGTAGAGACCATTGGGTCAAGGTTTCGGATCTTGAGTTACAGGATTAAGTAAGTGATCAGTGTGTGATGCAGAGGGTTTATAGGCTGATTAGCTTTGTTATTTGGACTATTAGGAACATGGTGGTTGGACCAGGTGCGAGACTGGTAGTCTCAGTGATGGTTTGGGGAACCTTTATATCTCGGTTAGGTAAAGGGTGTTGGTAATCAGAAGATTGTGGTGTGAATTGTAGGTGCATATTCGTGGATTTTGGGTAGTTATTGTCAGTCGAGGTTTTCTTTCGGAAGTCGCATGAGGCGATTGTGGGAGTGTCGTTTGGCTCAACAGCCGGGCGGAAATTTGGTATTTCAGATAGTTGGGAGACAAGTTGGGACCAGGGAGGTCTCGGCTGCTTGTGGGAAGCAGCCAAGATGCAGCGTGGTGCTTCAGGCATTTTTAGTGTTTCGGGCAGTTTCAGTGTTCCAGGCAGTTTCAATGTTTTGGGCGGTTTCTGTGTTTCGGGCAGTATTAGCGATTTGGGTTCTCGTGTGTATGAAAAGTATCTAGGTATTTGGGTAATGCTAAGTCACTCATAGCGGGATTAAATAATCTCAGAGTAATTGATTTGACCCTGTTGCGCAGCTCTCGTTTGAGTCTAACCGTTGCAGGGATGAATCTTCTACTCGAATGATTATCTGAGTCTTCTGTTGAGTATAAGTTTCTGTAACTGTATATGTTCAGTGATTTTGTTTCCCCTATGAAGCATTTCTTTGGTTCAAAACTCTATGGGGTTGGCTTGGTGGCAATTCGGTGTGAGAGGTCTAACATGGAGTTAGACCATTGAGATTGTAGGTTTCAAAATTCAGGCGAGATAGGATTGGGTTTTATTCAAATATTGAGGATTCGTTCTTCACCAGGCTTGAAGAATTATTCTAAGGATGGTTCTAGTAGATCGGGATAGGCCTTTGTATGATCAGAGTTGGAAGGGTTATGATTGGTTTGCTATTCGTTGAGAGAGGGCATGGGTTGTTTCAGCACAGGCGATCTACCGGGAAGTCAGGTCATTATAGATTTTAGGTCTCAAAAGGTAGAGTTGGTTTGCAAGGGTTGAAGGTTTAGGTGTTATTTCTGGGATAGGACTTTCGGTTACCTTGGGAAGGTTATTTTATGCGAAGAATTTCCGATCATAATCATCAGGTTGATTGTTTTGATATGAGTGTTAATAAAGAGCGATTTCGAGGGCGAAATCTAATTTAAGTGGGGGAGAGTTGTAACATCCGGAATCTAGAAGGTCAATTATGGAAATAAAACCTCATTTCTAAAGGCCAACTCGTCGATTTTGGGGGAAGAAACTTGACGTGTTGGAAGTGTTGGTAGTGCGTGTTTTTGAAGACCAACTCGACGAGTTGGACGTGGTTTTGGAAACCCTAATTTCGGGGTTTTGCACCCTATTTAAACAACTTAAATCCCATATGTTGGCCTCATTTCCAACCACCATTGTCCTAAACCCTAACTTCAAAACTCTAAGGCATTTTTGAGTGTTGTTAGCCATTTTGTGTGCTTTTGTGGTGTATTTGAAGCCATTGGAAGGAAGGGAAGCTTGGTGAGAGTTTGTGATACAAGAAGGAGTTGTTGTTGGGTTTTAGTATACTACAACATCCTATGGTGCACATACAACCCTAAATACCTTGGATCTATGTTTTCTCTATTATACATGCAAATGGTTTCCAAGGCATTAAACCTATAACTAGCATGCATTTGACATAAACCATATAATATACTAGTTAGGGAAACATACATTTTATGTGGCTTGAAGTCTTGATGTATTTGGCCTTAAGAGCTTAGCACCAATAGTATGAAATGCCTCAAATAGAATCACAACACACCTAGGACAAAGGTGGCTCTTGAGAGAGAATTCCATGCACCAAAACACCTCCATATTTCTCTAAGAAAAGAAGTGGTGATTTTGGCTATGGAGTAACCTATTTATATGTAGGATTCCAAGGGTCATGGGTATAACCCATAATCCATACCCATGGGTTTTATGATCCATGGTTCATGTGGCCCAACTCTTTATGTATCCATACATAAACTTGGTCCAACATGGATCATAAGCCCAGCACATATAAATATAACTAATTATCATAATTAGTCCCCATAGATTTAACTAGTCTCTTTTGATCACTAAATTAATTCCAAATTAATTCTTGATCGATACTAATTAAAACATATGATTTCATATTAATATATTATAACTTATAATATATTAATAAACCATAAATAACCTTCTCTCAAAAGTCCATCCGAACAAATTGTCCTGATGATATGCAACCCAAATGGACCATGCTACTCTCGGGTCAAGTACATACCAATAATAGTTATGGGCTTAGACATCTAATCCAACAGTTGCTAGATCTCGAATCCTTACTTCATTTTCGACACTTTTCTGGTAAAAAGTCTCAACCTTGCTTTGCGAATTCATAGATCTCCTTCTTAGGGTTCTTTTGCATGTTTTGGTCCAAATGGAGTGGTGTTGGGAGTTAGACGTCCCATTTGGACAAACCCTTTCAGATCTAGGGTCCTAGGGAGCTCTTTTGGCATAAAGGTGCCAACTTTATGGTCTTAAGGGCTCCATGCATCCATTAAGCCATTCTGCTAGCTTACTTTGAGCTTCTTCTAGCCTTGCATAAGAGTAAAGTTGGAGACTTTACTCATCAATACAGCTTTAAGGGACTAGATCTGCAATTTGAAGCCTTATCTTGATGATTAAGTGGCTTAATAGATTAAGTGGGTTTGCTGACTGAAGAACTCGACGAGTTTATAGGAGAACTCGACGAGTTGGTTTGGGATTGTCCCGATTCTGATGAAAATGAGGGAAAACTCGACGAGTTGGATCGATTCTTCGTGATTCTGCGGTTTGATGAGAACTCAGTGAGTTAAAGGACCAACTCGGCGAGTTGTGTCACCTGGACCGTTGACTTTGGCGTTGACTTTGACTTTTGACTTATGCTTTTGACCAAGTTTGTCCCAATAGGTGTTTGGGGTATTCTGAATTGTATCTAAGGAAAATATGGGCTTAGGATCAGGCCCATATGGGATTGGGCCCAATTTGGAAAATTGGGCCATTAGAGGGCCTTTGTGGATCTTTTCGAATTGGACCTCAGTTTTTATTTATGTTTGGGTCAAGGGTAAAATGATCATTTTACCCCAAGTATGGGTTATGGATCATTGTTGGAACCCAATTGCTAATTGGGCGTTATTTTGGTATTGATAGCTCGTGGAGTCGTCAGAGCAGCAACTGGGGATTTCTTTCAGTGAGCTCCAGCATTCGAGGTGAGTCTCCTCACTGTGTTTAGCGGGTCGAAGGCACCAATGCCGACCCATAGTTTATTATGTCAGGATGCTAGTTTTTTGCGTGACTCCTGCATGTGAATGTATTGGTATGTATGTTGGGCGGGGGCCGATGGTTATTTTGTATGCTAGAATCAGGTTATGCATATATGATTTGTATGTGGGCGGGGCCCGATGATTGTACAGTATGCTATTATCTTTGTGATTTTCGCATGTGTTGAATGTTATATGATTATATGGTTATGCGAGTGTGGGCGGGGCCCATATCTCAGTCGAGTGTGGGCGGGGACTGTATCTCGGTGGGCGGGGCTCGTTATGTTCTTAGTTGTGTTTGGTATGAGGTATCTTGGGAAACTCACTAAGCTTTGTGCTTACGGTTTTCAGTTTATGTTTCAGGTACTCCAGTTTTCAAATAAAAGAGCTCGGGACGATCGCAGCGCATACACCCGTGTTTTCCACAATATGTGATCTTTGGGAATGAACTCTGATAATTGTTTTATTTGAAATGTTTTTCAATGTTTGGACAAAGTTACAATAGTGATTTGATTATAATAAATGAATTTTTTTTATCCTTGATTTTTGGGATGTTACATATGTATGGAGGTATGCATGAAAATACTAAACCGTGTATTAGTGATTTATTATGTTTGTTGAACTGTGAATATTTCTTATACACGATATATTTTCTAAATAAATCTATAATTTAGAAAAAGGAAAATTGATTTTTTCTAAACATAATTCTAATTTTTGCTAAAATTATGTATATTTTAGCTGGAAAACTAAAAAAGTATTACCAAGGAAATGGGAGCTACGATATTTGTTTTATTAAGTTGTGGATATGGATACAAAACTGCTACTGAATTTAATGTTAATATGGTGGCGGTCCAGCCACGGTCCGGTGATGGTCCTAAGATGGTCCGACGGTGGTCTGTCGACAAATGTCAAGTAGTTTGTAAACTATGAGATGAAAAAGTTAGCTTAATACAAGATTCTTAACCTTTTTGGGTTCTCATTTGAACCACTCCCTATATATATATATATATATATATATATATATATATATATATATATATATATATATATATATATATATATATATATATATATATATAGACACACACACAAGTAGGTTAATGTGAAAACATAAATATGTTACGAAAATACGAAAACAAATTTTATCTTATAAAAATCAAACAGATGTACTTTAGAAATTAAATTTATTAGCAAAATAATAAGTTTATATTAGAGGGTGTTATCATAATATAGATTTAAAGGTGATATTAACAACCGTTTCTCTTTTTTTGTCACGTCCTTAACCACTTTTAAATTCAAATTTTAATGATAAAAAAATGAGAACATTTGAGGAATCCATATGCCATTTCTTAAAGTAAATACATGATTTTATACGTAAATGATAAATCGTATTAATTTTAACACGTACTGAACCAAAAATACAAGATCAAAACGGTCAATGTGAAAATTTCTTTCGAAAATAAATATTTATGGTTAACAAACATATAATAGTTTAACTGAAAAAAAAAATACAATAACTTTGATTAATATCGCTTTCTAAATTGCATGAACGTATTATTGATTTGTTTATGATATATTTGTACAGAAGTTGGTTACAAGGTAATATGATTATTTTATTGAAAAAATAGATTAAAAAAAGTATGAACAGCAAACATGCTGAACTGGGACAGAGAATTACAGAAAGAAAGAAAGAAAGAAGCAAAGCAACAGCTGCACTTGTGCTACCTTCATCACCTCCACTTTCTCTCTCTCACCGTTTCTCCATCAACACTCCACCTCTCTTCACGTGACTCCCCATCCTTCTTCCCTTTTTCTTAGGGTTTTCTCAACTGCAATTTTGATTACATTCCACCGGCAGATTTCCTTGATCCGCCCAAATCCCAAGCAGATCCGACAAACTGATTCCTTTCCAAACTTTTATTGCACTACAACTTGCCTCTGATTTCGTGATTACGTCCAATCAGGTTGGTTTACTGGTGGTCGTTCTATCGAATTTGACTTCCGTACGGGTAAGTCAACAGGTTGGCGTACAGGAATAGAAGAGAATATTAACTTGTGGTTAGGTTCGAATTTGACAACAATTTGGGCATATTTTATGCTTTAACTATTAGTGGATCTGGTGATTTCGAAATATTCTTAGCTGGTGAGGTTTCTGATGCTTACACGGTTGATATATATTAAATTGGAGTGTTTTCATCGGAAATAAGCTGATTTCTGAGGCTTTATGGCATCAAATTAGAAGTTGGAATTGAATTGATGGTGTTTTACGGGAATGGGATTGAATTGGGGAACAATGGTCGTTGAAAGAGTTAGGTAGCCAAAATGCCTGCTTCACCAGCAATGAGATTTTCTCCAGGGAGGGAATCAAGGGCTGATAATCACAAGAGAGGTCGTAGTCTTGAGAACGGAGTAGTTTTCAAAGAGAGAGATGATGATCTTGCTTTATTCAATGAGGTGCAAAGTAGAGAACAAGACAATTTCTTGCTTCAGTCTAATGATGATTTTGAAGATACTTTCGGTAATTTCTTTAGCTTTTCTTCATGCGGATATTCAAAACAACGTACTTTTATATGGGAATTAGATATTTGTTACTTATTGCTGCTCATACATTCTTCTTTTTTTGTCTAATTGCATTTTTGCAGTGACCAAGTTGAGCGATTTTTCTGATCACAAGCTTGGAATAAACATTGCTACTAGAGGAGAAAGTAGTGACTTCCTCAATACAGAAGAGGAAAAGAACGATTATGAATGGTTGGTAGTCATTTGCTTCTTATCTTTAACTACATATAAACTTTTGCATCAGATCATTTGTTTTGGTGTTTATGTAAACTTTTGCATAATCAAGAGTAAAGACAGTTACTTATCTTTTCCAAATACATCTCTTTCTATCTTAACTCCATGTCCTTTATCATCTCAAGTTAAATACTTTCCACTTTATACTAATTTCGTTTATGCTAATGAAGGTTAATAACTCCACCTGATACCCCTCTGTTTTCCTCATTGGATGATGAGACAACTCAAGTTATTCTTCCACAGAGGGGAAGGCCACGTGCTCAACCCATCTCACTCTCAAGATCATCCACAGTAAGTCTTATATATCATTATATCCCAAGCTAATCACTATTCATTAACACACACTAATGTGTTCAAACATATTCATCATAACCCTTAATCCATGTGTGTAATCTAACTTAACTACAGATGGAAAAGAATCACAGAAGTAGTAGAAGTAGTCCAAGCCCAAATCGCCTAACCCCATCTCCACAATCTAGTAATATCACATTTCAGCCTCCCACTAGATCAAAGAGACCATCTTCCCCATCAAGTAAACCTTCAACACCACCTCCAGCTTCACGAAGATTAAGCACAGGATCCAGTTCCACTATTACCAAGGGTATTTCGGGTATTTCACCTGTGAAGACAACAAGAGGAAACTCAGCTTCACCCAAGATAAGGGCATGGCAGGCGAACATTCCTGGTTTTTCCACAGAAGCACCTCCAAATCTGAGGACATCTTTGGCTGATAGACCTGCATCATATGTACGTGGGTCCTCACCAGCTTCTAGAAGCAGTAGACAATCAATGTCACCTACTCCTTCTAGAAGCATCAGTTCATCTCATAGTCATGATAGAGATAGATTTAGCCCAAGGAGTAAAGGGTCAATTGCGTCTTCTGCTGATGATGATGTTGAAATTGAATCTCTTCCATCTGTTATTGTTGTTCATGGCTCTGAAAGGTTGAATTCAAGGAAACTCGGTGGATTTCAGAATAATAATAATAAAGCTTCTTTTTCACAAAAGACAAACAGAACAGTTTCTTCTAACTCTGCTCCTAAAAGATCATTTGACATGGCACTTCGACAAATGGTAATGTTTTTTTTTTGCTTTGTAGATGTTAATGACTTAATTCCATTCCCCTTTTCTTTGAAATTTTATCATTAGCATATATAAAATCCTGTATGGATAAAGTGGCTGAATGGTAATGATAAGTGATGAATAGATAAGGTCTGTTTCTTTTCTAGAATGAATAAGTTGTCTGAATGAGGTTAAATGACCATTTTACCCTTACATTTCATGAATCAAGTTTTACAATATTCATGAATCAAGTAATGATCCATGTATCATTTTATGTTTTATAATGAAGTTGCTGAATGTTTAAATGTTGTTGTCTAGGATAATAAAAGAGTTCCTCAAAATATGTTCAGACCACTACTCACCAGTGTCCCTAGTTCAACATTTTATGCTGGAAAATCAACTCCTGTTTGGAATTCTTCTGTGACAAGTTCTGATCTACCCACAACTTATGCACATGAAATTCAAGAAACTCAACTAAATGATGATGAAGCAACAAGTGGATCATGTGTAAAGTTGCAAGATTCTTCTTCCTCTTCTTTTCTTGATGATCAAGTATCTATATTCAAAAAAACCGATTCTTTGAATGAAGATATGGGGAATGAAATTGAAACCCATGAAATTTCACCAACTCCTCAGTTTGGTGATTTGAAAGATGGGTTTGAAAATCTTGCAGATTGTGATACTGAAACTTGTGTAGTTTTAGATGATGATTTTAAAGACACAGAAGTTGAAACCCTAAAGGATATGTTACTTTGTTCTAGATGTGGTTGTAGATACTCTAATGATTTCATACAATCAGAAAAAGAAATCAAACTTTGTGAAAGTTGCCAAAATTCGTATTCATCATTGAAGCCTCAAGCAGAAGAAGTCAACATGTCAGATGAAGATCATGAATCATTCAACACAATGAAGCCTCAAATGAATCCAGTTGTTGAAGTTGAAGTTGAAGTTGAATCCCTTGAATTGAGTCCATTTGAACAACATGAAGATGTAGTAGTTAAAGAAGCGACAGAAGTCAACCATGAAGTCATAAGTCAACCAAGTTATAGTGATGCTGTTGACTTTTCAGATTCAAAGGTTGAAGACTCTTTAGTCTTGAAAAAGTCAAATAGCATGAAGGGCATTGTTGTCAGAAGCGGGAACTTTTCAGCTAGTAGTATCTCTTTAGATGATCTTTCATATGTGAGATATTATAGTACAAATACAAATAGCATGAGAAGCTCTTTGGGACGTGGGAGTTTATCTGCTTCATCTTCTTTTGACTTTGGTCAAACTACAAATACACATACAGACACTCGATTAAATCGTAACAAAAAACAGCATCAACGAAGTGTGTCATCTTTTTCTCGAAGTTCTAGTCATGCTTTTCATCCTTCAAGTGTTGGAACAAGCACTCTTGATTCGTTTGAGGTATCCAGTGTTCATGTAGTGAAAGATGTTGCTGACGTGGCATCTATAACATGTCCTCAAGAAACCACCCCATGTGAAAGCGACACATGGACTGAAAATGAAGATGTGGATAATCAAACAGGTCATGAATGTTCAAATGTTGAAGAGAGTGAGGAAGAGGAAGATACAGGTGTAAGTGTTTGTGTTGCAGAAGTTGAAGTTGAATTGAGTGTGATTTCGGAAGGAGAAATTGATCAAAGTTGTGCTTCTCCTCCTGTTTCACAATGTAATGCTTCAGCTATAGATGATGACAACATAGAAGAGGAACCGCAATCGGAATCGGAATCGGAATCGGAATCGGAATCGGAACCGGAATCGGAATCGTCGGTGTTAGTCGAAGATGAAGGAAAAACGAAAGGAAGAAGGCTAACACTAGAAGAAGCAACAGAGACAATACTCTTTTGCAGCTCAATAGTCCATAACATAGCCTATGAAGCTGCAACTTTAGCCATTCAGAAACAACATTCAGATGCTTCTCAAACTGAAGACAACAATACTTCATCTTCAGGGCCACTTATTCCAGCCATAGGAAAGCCTACAAAAGAGATTCAAACCAAAAAAACAAAAAAAACATCATCAAAGTCTCAGAAAAACAGACACAAAAAGGTGACGACTACAAAACCTCCTAACAACAACACAAATACAAATGAGGAAACTGATTTGGTAAAACCACGTATTGTTTATCCTAATAATAAAGAGAATAGGAGACCTCCAAAACTAGAATCTAAATGCAATTGTAGTATTATGTGAGAGAAAGTGTTTTGATTTTTGGGTTCTTCCACTTGGTTTTGACTTTGGTTGATTGTGTAAGTATTTTTGTAAAGAAAGTTAATTAGTAGGTTAGATTTGGTTTGTATTTTTATTTTTTATTTTTTTATTAGTGATTTGGGTTTGGTATTTATATGTTATAGAGGAGAGCAGAATGATGACCTAAGTGTTGTTTATTTGATTGTGGTACTAGTGCTGCTATGCAATTGTTGATTGACTTTTGAATCTGTAACTTGAGAGGTTGATAATATAAAACAAGTTCTTTTGTGTTTCTTCTTGTTGACTCTCATAATCTTTGATCTTTCTCTGGGTTCTTCAATGTTTGTTGATTATCGACTAGAGATGGTGAAATGGAGTTTGGATTGGTAACATATTGGTTTATCGATACGACGTGGCATTTGGGCGAGTTTATCTGCATCGCAAATAAGTTGGGAGTTATATTTTATCGTTAATTATGATTACTATTTCCTTAATAGTTATCTTTTTATTTTGGTATGCTATTATTTTGGTAGGTAGGGTTCGACAGATTTGGACCTTGTGAAATTTTTTTATGGTTATGAATAATTAATTTGAGTATTTGATTCTTGGAGACCTCCCCTGTTTCTTGAACTACAAGGTTTGGTGGCACCTAGCCTACGCGTTCGTCGTTCGAGGCTAGTTTTTATCAAATTGGTATAAGAGCAATATGATTATGGGGTAATCGTACTCTTTACGACGATATTGTTCATGCGTTACTGTTCACAAGACCAACAAAAAGATTGAGAGTTTGGAAGTTGAGTTCAGCAAATCTAGGGAGGAAACAGAAGACAAGCATTAGGAGATTTCCCGACAAATTGGGACATTCTCATCAACAACTTGTCCACCAAGACAACTAACTTGGTGTTGGGGTGTGAAGTTTTGATCAAAGATGGTTATTGGAGAGCAAATGTGCTCTTGATAATCAAATACGCTCCCTTGGTGAGAAAATGCTCCCTTGGTAAGAGAATGTTTCGTTTGGCGAAATGATGCTAAGTACTTGAGTGATCGGGTACTTGGAGAAAGTCTAAAGCATTTAGAGAATGCGTTGGAGGCATCCGAAAGTGCTGTTTGGAATCAAAAAGCACTACTATAAAGGAGAAAACGTTGCCGGGCATCAGAAAACACTGTCAAGAATTCAAAAGCGCTGGCAGGAATCAAAAAACATACTAGGCATCAGAAAGCGTTGCTATGAGAAAGTGTTGTCAGGAATCAGAAAGCGCTGCTAAGAAGGAGAAAGAGTTGTTAGGAATCAAAAAGCGCTGCTAGTAATCAAAAATCGTTACCAGGAAGGAGAAAGCTTTTCGAGGCATCAGAAGCGCTGCCAGGAATCAGAAAACACCGACAGACATCATAAAGCGTTGAGCACTTGGAGTTGGAGAATATGTTGGGCACTTGGTGAATGTGTTAGGGTGGTTCCAAAATGCTATGTTATTGGATTGCTCAAGGAGAATGCGCTCCTATGATGCACTACGACAAGCATGATTTGCTCCTATGTGCATGGCAGGTAGCCATGCACATCCTTCGAGACTGAAGGTACTAGAAGCAGCTGCATGGCGTCTTGTGATTGGTTGACAATTAGGGATTCCCCTTCATGGGCTAATTATGGATGGGCATGACCCATCATAATTTGGGTTTTCTATGCTTGACTATAAATAGACACACATCTCCATCAACATTCTTACACAGAAAATTCAAGAGAGCAATCATTGTGAGGTTGAGAGCACATCCTTTGGAACAATTAGTCAACAAGAGATATTCATTTTGTTTGAGAGCTCAAGTGAGGTGTAACCTTTATGAGTAATTGTAATTGTTCTTTTTGGAAGTTTAATAAAATCATCTATCTCTCGTTCGCCTCTGGACGTAGGTCAGATTAACCAAACTACGACAAATATTTTGTTTCGATTTTAAGGTTTTTCTTTTGCAGTTTTTCAAAAGTTTTATTTCATGTGTTTTACTAAAGTTCTTTTATTGTTTTCTGAAGTGCTTAACTTGTTTTTTTGAATTACCTAATAAATTAGTATCAGAGTTATAGTTGAATATGGGAAAGTTAAGATCGACAAATTTGATGGTTAAGATTTTGGTTTCAAGAAAATTCAAATTGAATACTATCTTTTCCATAAGAAATTACATGACTCATTGTCTGGAAGGAAAGAAACCTGAAGTGATGAAACAGGAGGAATAAGGCTAATTAGAGCGGCAAGTGTTTTGGTCAAAAATCGCATAAGTAATTTAGTAACCAAATTAGTAAATGTTTTGTGATGTTTAGGTAAAGATTTTTAAGAAAGTAAATCGTAAATTGTTGAAGATCTTGAGATACGCCCAAGATCTTGGACGTGCCCAAGATTTTACAAATAAGACAATAATGTTAAGATTTATTATAAAGAATATAAACTAAAGAATGTTTAGAAAATGATGAGTGAATCCAAGATACAAGTACGTGTTTACTTGGAAATTGGGACAAAAATAGTGTTAAAATCGTAAATTCACTGAATATAGCAAGAAGTCTTAAGATATTCAAAAATGGTTAAGATACCACAAAGTATCTTGAGGTTGTAATTAAGCAAACAAAGTATCCTAATTGAATAAACGTCTATTAAAACGTGTGTAAGTGTTGATATAGATCAAATAATAGTAAATAAGTAAAAGTGAGTGAAAGAAAACAAAGATATACGAGGAAAGCCCTTGATCTATAAAGATCTCTGGCAGAAAACATCAGGAGGTGACAAAAGTCCCACCGCCTTTAACACTTTTATTAGAAATAAGTAGAAATGTTACAAGTGAAAATTGATTTTGAGTGACGTGAGTGAGAGTGACCAAGTGTATGTGTGTTACCAGTTGTGAACGTGTGTGAAATGATCTTAACTCCTCTATTTATACATTTGATAGCTAAATAACTTCCCTAAAAATCAGGGATCTTCCCTTATTCTTGCTTGGCTAGGTATTTTGGGGAGACTCAACTTCTTTTTTTTTGTTGACCACATGTTTAGTTGACTTAGTTCATTCCTTGTGAGATAAGCCTTTATTCCTACATAATAAATACAATCGCAATTCCAAGATGTTGGCTTGTTCAAGATCTTGGGTGGTTCAAGATGTAAGACATAATAAAATAAACTTATGAAAGTATCACCCATAATAATTACCCCCAGAAATTACCATTTTGAGATCATAAAAGATGGAGATTTCTAAACTCAAAATCATACCGTTAGGTGATGATGGCCCTTTTTTGTCAAGACCAAATCGTACCTGTTCAACATTCAAATATTCAAAGGCCGAGATTTCCATTCAGGTCCTCCTATAAATTAAAACTTAATTATACTTGTTTCTTTACTTGAAATTTTGGAGGTCCTTCAATCCTTTAGGTAAGATTTCTTTATGTAACACCCGTAAATTCGAGCTAGTCAATTTAGAGATAATAAGCGTTGAAAATGACTTTTTGATAGAAGATTATTTAGGACAAATAATCTTAACAAAAGTTATAGTATATGTAACAAGGATTCCGTACATATAAAGAACGCTGAAATCCGACTTCGTATGAAGAAGTTATGCTTCTTCGAAGTTTCACAATTAAACCGCCATGACTCTGCGTATCATAAAAAGTAAATTTTTGATAAATTACTTTTTAACCTAAGTGTTCTAAACGAAGTCATAGTAGTCGTTAAACCGAGAGTGTGCATATAGAGAACTTCTAAATCTGACTTCATTAGAGAAAGTTATGATTTTTTTATAAGATTCAGCGTAGCAGTATACAACTCAGAAATTGAATTTTAGATCGGTAAATTTTTAGCCGAATAATCTAAACGAGAATTGAAGATATCGTTAATAGGAGTTCAACGATATAAAGACAGTAAAAAACGGACGTCGAATGACAAAGTTATGAATTTTTAACGGACTTTAACTGTCTAAGTCTGTTAAAATATAACTCTAAAAATAAAGTCAAAATTGTAACGACCCAAAAATCAAGGGTAAAAATTTCATTTTTAATATAGCTAAAACGTTGATACCATTTATTTCAAACATTTCAAATCATCATTAAGTAAAACATTTATCAGAGTTCATCCCAAAACCATTCATTGCGGAAATCATAGGTGTGTGCACTGCGATCAATCCGAGCCATTCTTTTCCAAATCGATGATACCTGAAACCAAAACTGTAAACCGTAAGTGTGATATCCCCTAATTTCTTGGCCAGAAAAGACCGATTTAATTTATGCTTTTTAAAATAAAATCAGAGTAATCCTTTTAAAAGATGTTGCGGAATTTGTTCCCAAAACAAAAATGATAAAAATTTATCAAAACCTTTCTTTAAGAAATATATATATTCATTTTATATCAAAACATCGGGATGTCATGTTCCGATACAGATCAAAAGCATAAACAAGACATTATAAGCCTTACAACAGTTATTCACTCGATCTAAAATTCGAGTTTTTAGCTGTCTACTGCTAAGCTGAAACTTAGAAAAATCGTAACTTCCTCATACGAAGTCAGATTTGGACGTTCTTTTTATACATACTCTCGGTTTAAAGAACACTACGACTTTCGTTTATATCACTAAGACTAAAAAGTAGTTTATCAAAAACTCACTTTTTACGTCATTCGGCACCGTGACGGTTTTGTCGCGAAACTTCGACATGTCATAACTTCTTCGTTATAACTCGGATTTCGGTGTTCTTTATATATCCGTAATCCTTGTCACGACCACTACAACTTTCTTAATAGATATCGGCTTTATCTAATATTTATTTTCGACGCTCATTTTTACTCTTAATTAATTAAATCCTAGTAATTAAGCATAAAACACATAATTCACATAATATTCACATAATTCCTTTTCATATTTTCAAAATGAGTTACAAAGGTTAACCTAGACTATTACGTCAATATTAATGCCTAGCCTAGAAACACGGGCGTTACAATTCTCTCCCTCTTAGGATGATTCCGTCCCCGGAATAACACATCAACAAACAAATGCGGGTAGCGACTCATCATGTCACTCTCCGTTTCCCAGGTGAGATTTGGCCTATTCGTATGTTTCCAACGTACAAGCACTAAATCGATCATCTTGCGTCGCAACTTCTTAGTCTTACGGTCAACGATTGCCTCAGGTTCTTCAATTAACCTTTTGTTTTCATCCAACCTTAATTCAGAAATTGGAATTATGTCGGGCACATCTCCCGTGAACTTTCTCAAATAACACGCATGAAAGGTGTTATGAATACCCTCTA